AAAAAGTTATGTCCAACAGAGTGATCCTGACTATTAGGTGCTCTCAACGAGTGTGATCTAAATAAAGTAACTAAGCTGAGCGCATATAGCCAACAGTCAAAAAATTATTCAGGATTATGATGAACCCTTTGCAGGAAAGAGATCTGGTACTGTATGAAAAGGCAGAGTGACATACTCCAGTTGCACTATCATTGGTGATATAATTTTTAAATTCGAATGATAAGCGGATCTTTTTATTTACTTTACTATTTAGTTCTTATTAAAAGAATCCATCTCCGATAATTTTCGAGAAAAAAATGAGTAGCATCTTGAGGTTCCCAAGCTTTTTATTAATCCTTTACGTGTAGTTAGAGAAAATAAACACGTGACAATAGTGCGAATCTTCCATAAAAGGTGTTTAGTATGCCCACCATTTTCGTTCCTGCGCATAACAATACGGCGCAAAAAATTTAACACTTGGTGTAATAAGAGATATTTTAGAAACCAGCTCCGAAAAACATTTTTTTCGAAAACAATGCGAGATGGTCTGACAAAAAATGAAACAAATAAAATGATTCTTCAGATAAAAGAACTCAGGGTGGTTGGGAAAGTTGCGAAAAACATTGCCAGAACTTATGTAGGGGTGGGCGTAATTTTCACGTTTTTAGAACTCTTCATCAACATCGGACTACCGTTTCCAAAGGCATCTGACGAAAGGTGTTTTGAGAAGGAAATTGAGTCTAAAATATGTGGTACTTGTATGTCCACGGAATATTGGGGCACCCTGTAAATTTACAACAGAAGTTAGTAATCTCTTTTATCCTTGCGAAGTTGAATTTAATTTTGTAGACTAAACCAAGCACTGGCTAATCTCACAGCATTTAAATGTCGGTTTAAATGTCGGTTTCGACACCTTTAAAAGGTATAACACAACAAGCTTTCACCTGTTAGAAACACACTTTTATCCACAAGAACGATTCTCCATTTTCGAGGAGTTGGATTCTACCTAGATTTAACACAAAGCTTCCCCGCTCTCTTCTCTTGCGACTATTGGTGAATTCGGCCCAATAGCAGCGTTTTACATATAACGAACAACAAACTGTTCCGGATTCTATTTTGCCAAGTGTATTTCATGAAGATGGTCGTTTAATAGTTATTTCTTTGGACCTAGACCAGTGTCGTCAATAAAGTAAGGAGCATCATTTCCTACCTGTATAGTGACAGAGATACAACAATATATTGCAAATAAATTCTGAGAGGCACACGTAGATTGAAAATCTTATTTATTTATTTGCAAAATAATAGGTATTCATTCAGTATATAACCACCATTCGTCAGCGATTATGCAAAGAATGAATATGAGATATATATATACACTGTTGTAGCAAAGGTTCGTCATCGAGGCTTTTTTCCACTAAAGGTGGCTACAAACACAACTGCAAGCTTGTCCAGCATGCTTATTCAATCTTTTGGTACAAGTATGCACAATTTGTCTTTGGCACCGCATGTAAAAGCTTGCTTGATAAAAATATATATAGGTAGGTAGTTTAATAAAATATGTTGAGCTCGGACGACGATGCGCTCGCTTTGGCCGGTTTTGTTCTTGTTAAAAAAAATAAAATACCGAATAAAAAAGCGTGCGGTGTGGTGTAAAGAATCGTTGATGAAAAGTAAAACCTATTCTCACATTAACTTACTAAGTGAGCTGAAAATATGTCCGCGTGACTGGCACAATTATCTCTGAACGGATGAAGAGACGTATTCAAACCTTTTATCTCTTGTATCACCTTTGATTAAAAAGCAGTATACGATCATCAACGGATGCCAACTTGTGCAAGCTTGAAAATCTTGGGTACACACGTACCGGTTTGCTTGCGCAAACGCGCCTAATTCAAGCATGCATAATTAAAATCAATTCAATCCTCAAGCTGCTTGTACAATGACAAGGCTTGCACCATATTTCCCTACAGACATTCAAGCGTGCTGGTACAAAAACATTGAACAAGCATGCTGGACAAGCTTGCACTTGTGTCTGTAGCCACCAGTAGCCACCAGTAGCTTTTGTCATGTGCACTGGAGTATATACGTATATGGTCGGCCATTGACATTGAGAAAAGTATTTTGTTATGTTGTGGACATGTACAGTGGATTACAAGCTCAAAATGTTCAAGTTGATTATAGAGAATTTTCCAGTAAATCACTCCATGCACAACCCACCGCACCGAGGGCATGATCTTGCGAAGATGAAGACCTCTTTTTGGTGTAGATTTCTCCGGTTCGTTGGGGCTCAGCTACTGACGCTTACGTGTATGGTAAATATAGATAGTCCATCTTTCATCTCCAAAAACGAGGTAGTCTAGCCAATTAAATGTCCGGCGAAACGATGAAGGATGTCACCGACCTTGGCTCGATATGTAAGTTTATCTTTGGAGCATCCAGACATCAAACCTGCAAGTCTTCCATAAGCCTGCAAATAATTTTCTATCCTGCCACGAGGGTATCCAAGCCCCGCAGCCAAATCACAATTTATGACTTAGGTATTTATATAATAATTATAATAATAAACCGTGTTTTATTTTCAAAGAAAATTCGGTATAATAAAAAATTGTATATAATACCAGTGGCGAAGTCTAGCTGACAGCTGCTCTTCTCAACCACTGGAGAGGAGCACCTAAATAAGCAAATAATTGAAACTGTTATTAAATACTATGAAATTACATATGCCAAAATCAATGAGGTAGACAGAAAAAGTATACATAATATATGATGAACAGCATAGAGCAGCACATGCATTCGTAGTAAAACATACATGTACAGATTATGCTTTTAGGTTTTAATATCTATACAGAGCGTACAATGAAAGGAACAACACATTCTTTGTCCACACTTGTGATATCAATATTACTATATTGTTTCCACTGGACACCCAAAGCTTGGTTTATCCATCAAGGAATAATTACCACCGCGGTATCGTTGGACTACCACTCGGAGACTTTATCATGAGATATCCTTCAGTATATAATATCTGAAGCTTCTGCAGCAAGATTCCCAAATTGGTACTCATATAAAGAGCGGTGTCGGACATGATTTTTGATATCTCTCATTCTTTCGTTGTGCTTTATTCAGTGACAGATGTGGTGTTATTTGATGTGCATGATCATTACCATATAACGTTCCCGATTATAGTCGAGTTTTTTAGAAAACAGAAACGGAAGTATTCGTTACATATTAATCAACCCGTTATTATCTGTAATGTCTCGCTTGTAATAATTACTGCAGGACTGTTCGGCGACAGATAGCTTAACCGTTTTTTATGAGCAATATTTTTCACTTCAAACTACAAATAAAATCATGATATTCATAAAGTGCAAAAATAGCAGATTGTTAATGCTTAATTTGTGTGTAAGTAAATATATACACGCCTTGTCATGCCACAAGTACAAATATGACTAAGATTCACGAACATAATGTTCAATCAATACACTGGAATTTTTGCACAGCACGTCATTTTAATAAGACAAGTGAACGAAAATGTGAATTAAGCAGCTGTAAAAGAAGAGAGCAGTAATACAATACCAGTCACCGCACTGTGAAGTTGTTACACCCGGCGCACGGATAGGGTGTAAACTAAGACTTGCTAGACTTAACTAATAAGAAGCAAACAAGCATTCAATTTTGATTCGGTAGTTGCGTTTGAGATGCAAAAGTCTATAAACGTTCTTCGTCCAGAATTCTTGCAGAAATATGGTTGTCGACAAAGAAATGTTAGATACCTAAATTGCAATGTAGGCGTTCAAACTTCCATCCAAACAAAAGGGAGAGTAGAAAGGCCATGCTAAGGGAAGATATGCGGTGAGTATAGTGACATTATTTATGTCTTCAGGGGGAGATTCCACCGAAAATAAGGACAGTCTATAAGGATATCTGTGTAACACAAGAGCAATATGTTACGCAAATTTGGAAACCATTTTTTTACGATAGAACTGGGAAGTTTACGACATCCTTAAAAACACAATATGTTCAGGACATAACTTTGGGGCCTGAATTACTTTTCTGGTCCTACGCAGATCAAAGTGCTATAAAAAGGGACGGAAAAAGCCACTGTAAAATTAATCAAAGTGGCTTTTACACCAAAAAAATCGCATTCGTGGTGGTATTTTTGTGCAAGGATGGGTTATGTAAAAATGTTTTTTCTCCTCTGGCGAAATACTCAATTCGATTAGTTCTTGTAGTTAGCACCTTCTGGATTCGTTTGGACACACATGTTTGATAACTTTCAAAATAATTGTAAAAGCAGTACAACTCTACGAATATGGATCCGAAAGTGTGTCTTTCATCATAAAAGGTGTTGCAGTTTTTCGCAAGTAGTACTCGTATAAATACCGTAAACTGTTCACCCATATTATTTCCCAAATTATTTTTTTCTCAGCAGCTATAATATTTTTGAATGAGGTACTGAAGTCGTGAGATGTTCTCAGGAAGACTTAAGTCTGTTCAAAGAATTGCAGCTGGTAAATTTACTACATCTGTTTCATTCAAGCATAATTCTATTTGAGGAATAAGCTCGAAACAAATAAGTAGTCTTTACTTTTATACAAGAAGGTATTAACGGCGATTAAGACTTCTCCAAACTACCTTTATCACAACTGCTATAGCAAGTTCCTCCAGCATCTAGCTACTAAGACCGAGATCTCACACAAGCCTATAATATGAATGATTCAAGAACATCAGCAATCCGAGTACTAACTTTTTATTATACTTCGGAAATCACATAGGACACTGACATCAGTAACAACACTGTTAACTGAAGTTTGAAAAGAGTAAGCTAGCCAAGTATTTGAGGTACACAACTTCTTGACAGGAAATTGCATTAGGGAAAACGTGTTCTCCTGCACCACTCATCTATATGCCGGAGAAAACTTCTACAGAAGCTGTGAAAGCACCTTCTTAAAGTACCGCTACTCCCAGCGTATGAGAGAAATTCGGTGAGCTGCAATCGTACACTTTAAGTAAAATCAATTATGCCGAACTGCAAAGAGCGGGGCAGGTCTGGCGTGACTTCAGGTAACGGTATGGTGCGAATTCGATTACATAACCTGCTTGTTGCAATATAGGCCAGTAAATCAGGCTTTCCAGAATAAATCACTTTGGCAGGAAAATAACTTGTATTCAGTATGCTAGTGTATTTGAGGACATGTTATTTCAAAAAAGCACACTCATATGCTTGCTTTCTGCATGTCTGTCTCCAAGACTAGGCCTAAAACATACTGATGAGTTCTGAAAACAAAACAGCGTTGTCTGCAGCTGATCATTGTTACAGAGGCGAAAAGCAAACATCTCTACTTCAGCCATGTCTATATTTTCATATATGCGTAGGAAGCTATTGTTGGGTTGCTCCGAGAATGCTTAGTATTCCGCAGGGTTGTTACCTAAAAAAACAAGCGTCCAATGCTGCAAATCGGTTCCTCATTATCCTTTGTTGGTTGCGGAATACCAGGATAGTCTGTAGAGTATACTCGGAGATGGGTGGTTGAGTAGCAGAATTGCAGGATCACATCTGGATTATTGTGCTTATTGGTTTGCATCTGTATAAAATCAGTGATTACTACTGAATATGCTGCCCATGAAATATATCTATTAGCAGTGCCAGACGGGTTATCTGTATTGTCATTTCTGGAGAGAGGTTATGTTCAACGTTATACATTACAATTGTTCCTGATTTTTTTGAGCTTTGGAAAGCTTTGAAAAGCATTACGGGAGACCGGTACCGCGTTGTGTGTGATTAAGCCGCATCACAGAAAAATTAGGAATACTGCACCACATACAAAACATCTTGGCACTGCCTCACATCTAGACGCTGATTTGTATTTTCTACTTGACTGCGTAAGTTAAATGTCTATAAAATATAAATGACTGGAAATAAAAATGAATGTGAAATGTAATAACTTTCCACGTTTCATAAATATTCTTGTATGTACCATTCTTTCTCTCCTGTTGGTTTTAATATACTTCACCAGCCACGGATTCTCTCCTTATCGCTTTCTTCTTTAAATCCAGAAAATTTGCATATGTAATTTCCGGGTTGAAAAAGAAAACGCGGATGCGCAATTGATTTTTACCTCTGCATATATTCCAAGTAAGTGTATTTGAGACACGAAACCAATGGAATTACCATGAACACAGATTATTAACACTCAGGTCACACCTAAGCTCTGCCGTTTTCTTCCAGCTATAGTATACTACTCACAGCTTAGACCTCCATCTCTGAAGCAGACGTCACAACATATCAGAGCCAAACATTATTAGCTGAAACATCATGACGTTTAGGCAATACGTACAGCTACGGAACGAGTTCACAACAAGTGTTCAACAGTTAGTGCTAAGCTAACATACTGTAGAAAAACCTTCATAATATCACAAAAAACCTTTATAGAGTCAAAAAAAACTCACAATGTCACTTTTCAAAATGCGTTATACCGCTGCCGGTCAGTTCACAGCTGACCGTGATGGATGTAGGGTGCCATATTTCTGTGCTTAGGGCAGCGGGCTCCTTCAAAAATTTCTAGATTACACTCGTCCCGTGTCAGCGTCAGCGCTCTCCTATTGTTAAGATATGTTTTCCTTTTAAATTGTAGGAAATTTCAGGCTGATGAAACATGATATAACTCAAAAGCAAGCACAATTTGATGCAAATAGATGTTTGTGACATAACCTCAAAATAGAGTTCTGACACGAAGAAGCAGAAAACTATGACAATCAAGAAGGCCATAAAGGCGCCCTACAATTGTAGGGACGACTGACGATACGGGCCTTAGGTCTTGCAGACAGACGAAACGGAAGGTAAACAAGTGAGTACGGTCTTTTGAAAAACTCAAAACATTGATTATTTACAAAGCAGACTAGCAGTCACCTTGATGAATACTTTCTGTCTCAATGTTTTTAGTTTCCTAGGAGAGCATACACACTTGCTTGTTTGTTGTTCCGTTAGACTCCAAGACTAGACGTAAGACCTATACAGCAATTACGAGTTGCTAATATGCACGAAACAGCGCTGTCTGCGGTTGGTCAATATTACAGAGACATACACAGTAATGTCCATTTCAGGTTACTCATTCAATTCAGCTATCTAAGAAACTACCAAACAACGCCTAGAGTAGCATTATAGGTACAAAATCACAGCAGTGCGTATTGTATGTCAAACTAATATAAGTTCATGGTAAAAAAACTCACGGTACAGGTTAAAGTGGAAAAATCAATAAGCCCAGATGGCAGAACTCTCTATAGCTTGGGAGTTAGTGAGAATTTTCTTTCACACTGTGAACCAAGTGTGTCTGACGACTTGAGTTTAATCTCTACGAGAGAGAAGTATGTAAGAGACAATAGGAGGAGATACAAACCGGCTGCATCACCGCGTTGCCAATATTTTACACCAATTCGTTGAATTAAGATGCATGTTGATAATATCCGTTACCTTATTCTCTACGCCCAAATAAAGGCTTTATTTTGAGCGTACACATTTTTGCATTGTGAATTGTGTCGAATCTGTTTAGGATCAAATCCAGTTGATTTTATCACCATCCATCGGTGAAAATCAAAGCTAATTCTAAAATAAATTAAAACACTAAGTCGCATCAAATTTGAAATAAATAATTCTAATCAAAATTAAAAAAAAATGTCAAATTAAATGTTCGAACAGACATCCTTCTTGGGTTTGACAATAACCTAACCTATTGTAGAAGCATGTGCAAATATTTACTGCGTCGCCGTTGTTGGGCAATGTGGTGATGACCTTCGCTCTTCAGCCGGCTTCTATCTCTTTCTAACCTGTGTCGATACACACTTCTCGCGCTTCTCTCTTGTACTCATTGAATTCAAGCCGTCGGATTTAATTGGTTTTCCCCGCATAGATATACTCCAAGCCGTAAGGTAACAACATATATAGGGATGCAACGAGTACTAGATTTTACCAAATATTCGGTTTCGCCGGGCAATTACTGGGTCTGAACGAAAGATCAAGTCTCAGCTCATATGCTTTTCTAAAACCTTCCTGATAACGTCCCTCAGGATATTAGCGTACCATCAAAGAAATAGTCACAGCATATTTATGCCGAACAAATTACCTGATCTGGATGATTTCTGAATAAATATCGATAGTTTTCCTCCGCAACCTAATCTATTTTCGGTATTTTCGTAACTTATCTTTTATTTACAAGATGTTACTACTTCACCGTTTTTCTTAAGAAGCACGGTCCCTGGAACAGCTGCCATATCAGTTCAAACCAAAACCACATTCTAGTACTACTTTTTGCGTTTTTAATTTGCTCGTCTTCCTTTTATGTGAGCACTCACTCAGAAATGCAAAAACTACAAAGAAAATAAGCAAAATGCAGCGAAAAACGGAAGGTAAGATAAATAGTTTGTTATTCTGCAAAACAAAACCTTTTAATTTCGGGTTTGTCCTTTCAGAATTGATACCTCCATGGCACCTAGCAATTGTGTGTTTGCTTGGAAATCTGCTCTTAAAAGCAGCTCAAAAACCTTTAGGATTTAAGTTCAGTGCTCGTGCTGGCCATGGTATGGCAACGATTCGGTTTGTGTAGTCTTTCGGAATTCGAGCATCTTGGGCATCGCATTTCCTGCCGTTAAAAAAGACGTAGGTTTAACATGTCGATTATAAACCTTTTAAATGTCTTACAAATGAGCTTCTTTTGTAATAGAAAGGATTAAAAGTATATCAAATATAAATGTTCCAAAAATGTAATTGCAAAATATGGTTTCAATTCTAGCTCAATATTGTAGCTGTTGAATTCCGCAGTAAAAACATGTAGCTAGCTAGTTGTTTCAAGATTCTTAAATGCTTAAAAAACAAAGTATCTAAAAATACTACACTACACTACCCCACTACGCTACAATCGGTTGTCTAAGCTACGCAACTGTTTTGTGGTGCCTCAATTTATTGATAAGGTGAGTCCAATTTTAAGAATAAAGGTCACTTTCAGAAACGAAAATATAATAATAATATCACTAACAGTATTTGAAACAACCGAGAGGACACTTTATCAAGAATCCTTCCAAGTACTCGGCTAAGTACCCGGTACATCGTCTTAAAAAAGGTAGTACTCGGTGCATCCCTAATCATATATGCATATATTGATATACTCGTGTATTTCTAGAAAATTTGTAAGTGCAATTTTTTTATATTGTTGTTACTCCGATAGGCAGAATACAGACATTCTTTGGACCCAAAACAACAGTTATGATGTTACTGGTTGTAACTAACAAGTGTGAAATGGCTACCTAGTACTGTTTTTGTTGCGAGCTTGCAACGCGTGAAAGTCAAAATTGCACAACCTAATTGTAAACGTTATAGTAATCTTCCGTAGTGCATATTTCCTCCTAGTCTATGTCGGCATATAAATAAGCAGGCGTTATGCTGTAATATTAATGATATTGGTCTTTTCAGTTTACCCTCTTTCATGCGCTGTTTGCTTCACGTAGAAAGGGAATCTCGCAGCTATTTACGCTCGCAACGAATACGTTATTTAAAGCTTATATTAAATAAGTAATCTATGAAACGTGACGAACAATCCACGTCAACAGAATTTTCTTTTGGATGATGAATTTGTATCTGAATTATGCCTCATAGTTTGTGTGGAGGAGAGCTGGAAACAGTGGGAACTGCGGGAACTTGAATAGATGTATATTTACACACGTAAGCACAATTTCTGCCAATCAAATATTTGAATTCACCCAATTGTATAGCTCTTTTCGGCTGAAGTAACAAGTGAAACTATGTTAATCTCTCATATATGCCTATATGCTGCCACTAAAAATAGGTTACGAAAGTTTCAAAATAGTTGTTGTAGATTTATTTATCACCTAAAGAGTATGGTTCAACTTCAGCAAAAATATTTGAGTTACAATGTGACTACCATGACACACAAAATTGTAGCTTCACAACGTCCCTCATACCTACACAGAAAATTGTTGTGTCCTTGACGCAAAAATGATATCAGTTTCAGGTTCAAAAGACGACCTGAAGTTCCTTTATGTAATAACAATCTTTCGTC